TTTTGTTTACTTTACTATAATTTTTCTACTGTATTAGAACCATTTTACTATATCAGAATTTATTTACTTTACTATAATTTTTCTACTTTATTATAATGTATGTTGAACTTGTACTCTAAACGAATTTATGAAACTCGTCAACACGTTCGCTAGCAGCGTCACTATACTATACATAAGTCATTGTATTTATCGTATTAAATACATCGTGTCCTCTTATAAAACACGATAAAAGCGTCGTCGAAGAGAACATTATAATATATAAATTCTCTGAATATCATGCAATCGTGTTACGATTTTAAATAATTACATTCAGAAAATTAATTCGATGTTCTTCGCGTAAAATACAAAATCGTGACTCTGCTAGCCGGCCTGTTAATAAACAAAATAATAATAATAATAATAATTTTCGAACAAGGTTCGACCAGCCACGAATGCATCCAGGTCCGCAATTCACCGACTGCGATCTTCCCCGCTTAATCGTCTACCGATCTACTTTTAATAATCAACCGATTTTCCAATTAAGCGAGGACAACGCTACTCGTCTACCTGTACAGCGTGTCGCGTCTAACGTATAGGTACTAAAGCAATTCACGGAACGATTCCATAGCAAACGAGATAGAGAAAAACGGAAATGCACGGAACACAGAGCTGAATGGCAGCGAGCTCTTTGCTACGGAACAATTCCGCCGGAACAATCGATCTCGAAAGCTCGAGCCTCCGTTGCAACAGCGTCGACCGAGTGGATCGTGCGATCAAGCCGCGCGTCGACCTACCTGCATCGTGCTGCTCTGATTGTCGACCTTGTCGATGCCGTCGACAGGTTGTTGGGGTCCGCCGAGAAGGGCGGTGATCAGTCTGAAGCCCATCGACAACAAGTTCGCCCAGGGACTGGTCGGTGCGCCGTCGTCGATGTCGTTCTTACTGGGCCCAGCCACGCCGCCGGTTTGGCCGAGCAGCATTTGCATCACCATGCTCAACATGTTCGACCATGAGAAACCGCTGCTGCTACCTTCCTGATGGGACCAAACGATCGGGATTCGAGACAAACGTTTCTCGCACCGGTTTCAACCCTCGCGAAGGTGCATCTCGCGAACGGAGCCACCCGTTTTTACGCTCTCCGAATGTTGCGGGTGAAAACGATTCTTCAATCGGATCAAAATTTCATTGGAAAGATGGATCGTTCTCAAGTGAAACGAGAAAAGGTGCATCCCGATGCGATCTATAGTTTCCGAGATAAAAATTCCTAAGTAAAACGCATTTTTTGGAAAATAATTGGCAAGAATCGTAGATTTCAGGCCCTTGTACTTTTTTAAACAAATTCGAAATTAGCAAAATGATGACTCAATGACTACGTCACTAATATCACATGGACTACGTCATATTTCAGTTTGAACAAAATCCCAGACATTTTCATTTTTATTGTTATTTTATTGTGATTACTAGACTGCGGGTTTTTATGCAAATTCATGTGTCGTTGGACAAAAATTCGGATTGTAGAAATGTCTCCTTGGTCAACTAAAAGATTGCATATTATAAAAATAAAATAAAATCCCTTTGCACAATTACACTTTTAACAGTTTGTTAAAATATAAAAGGGTTTGACGATGCAAGAACATTCCTTTGCTATAGGATATAACAATTTTTTATGGTGGCTCAGAGTCACCACTCGAGTACAAAGGATATATTAACCCTATAAAAAATATAATAAAAAAAAATAATAAATATATAAAAATAAAATATATTAATATACGTTCTGCTAGAATCTACGTTTCTGCACCTGCTATAAATGCATTAAGACCCGCAGTCTAATCATTACCAATATTATTACGTTGAATTTTTGTAGAAATATTAATTTAAATACTAAACAAATAAATGAAAAAAATAAATAATTTGTTAAGAGAAATCAAACGCGAAAACTGGGACAGAAATAAAACGTTGTATCAGCAAAAACTACGTTTCAAAGACTTCGTATCGAGTTTGTTGAATTTCAACAGATAGGTTGAATGGAAAAATCAATCTTTTTTATTTTCCACCTGATATGATTTAATGCGATTTAGCGCAGTTCAATTGCGTTCTCCGACCGTTGTATTGTTTTCACCGAGTTGAATCGTGTTATTTAACGCGGATCTCTCATAAAGCGAAAACGTATTCCATGCCTTGCTTAATTAACAAGGGTATTAATTAAAAATTGAATAGAACAGAAGAAAGGAGAACCGAATTGAATTGAACCGAAATTATAGCACTATTATTCCCATAACGAATTATAATTCCCATCGAGTTTGACGTAAAAATCGATCGTCTACCAACAGCCACGAGAAAATCCAACGCGCCAACGCAAAATGCACCTAACGAAATTGCAGTTCAATCGCAGAGCGGTGTACAAGGCGTGCTCACCTGGATCTGATTGGTGCTGATGTCGTCCAAGTCGTCCAGAGCGACCTTCTTCATAGCGTTCGGTTTCTCGGCGAACTTCCTGTCCTCCCTGATCTGCTGAGGCTGGGGCTGTTGAAGCTGCTGCGAGTATTGCGGATGCTGCGGCAGGGTGGCGGCTTGGCCGAGGACAAGCGCCACGAGGCACAGCGACACGTACTGATTGTACTTCATTCTGGAAGGGAAAATCGCAAGCTGCCGGAAACCGTAAGGAAGATTCGCGGAAAGAGAAGGTGTCCGCGGCTCGGATGCTATCTCGACCGTGAACGCGTCGAGAGCTTTATGGCTGCTCTCTCTTTCTTTCTCTTTCTCTTTCTCTCTGTCCGATCAAAACGGGAATGACTCAAAAGAGAAACCAAGAGTAGAGGATCGGGGACTCGTCCGGGAGAAAATCTGGTCCCGAATGTGTCACGCGCGAGACACTCGCACGCGATCCGACGCCGACCAATTCCGCTTCGACGGGAAACATTGTCGCACCCACTATGAACAAATTCGTTGGCACTCGGGACAATCTCCGCGACGATTTAGCGACGCGACCGAAAAGTTACCAAACAAGCTCAATCTGTTATAGTCGACACTCGGACGGCGGAGGTTGGGTCCTTTTGGACGCGCGATATAAATATTGTTGTTTCTGACAATCAATTGAAATGTTTAGATGTCTCGTTAAAGAGACTACAGAAGAACCAACATAAAGTTACGAACGATCCTAAGCATACTTAGTTATATTTTTGTCAAAAGGGTCCCCGTCGAAGGGTTAACACATTACCGTCCGGATGAGTGAAAATTATCTCGATCGCTCGTGAAAAGCCGGCGAACTAAAACTGGTCAAACCTCGATAGAAAAGAAAAACTTAACAGTCGAAACTTGTATTATCTATTCCAAAAATAAAAACCCTTCTAAAACATGCACGCAAAAATGTACGCACAAACAGCCCGGGCCGTATTCTGTTAAAATTACATATTGTTAGTTAAAAGTTACTTCTAGCAATGAAACGCTGTTGAAACTGCTACTAGATCGAATCTCGACAGTTTCACGCGTATACCGTGACCAGACGAAGATCACAGAGCCGACGATTCTGTGATGCAAGATTGATTTTACAATGTCCGAAGAGACTGACCTTGAGATGAAAATCGTGTTATCGTTCCGCGGTCGAGATTAATAGACGAATCGTCCGATTTTGCGAGCGCGGCGGCAAGCGATGCGACGAAGCTGGTATCGCGGAAGACGATCGACTCAGCGATTTCTGACCTTGCTGGTTGACGAGCCTTGGCCTTGGGACTGCGGAAAATGCGAGCGACCTAGCACGGAACGAATAAAGCCGAACGAATGAGTCGCGGGAATCGGAGGAACGGCTGGAAAGGCAGGAAAGTGTGTCAGAGCGGTTAAGGTCACCCTGCCAGCACCAGGTAGCCCACTTCTCGGTCGCGGCTACCGGTTTGTTGAACCCGACAGGTACCGTTACCTGAAAACGCGGTCGCGACCTACTGTCGTCGGCGTCTTCTTCGGCGGCGGCCGTCGAACGACCGACACAGATGGGCTATCCAGGAAAAAGAAAGCTTCGAGAGCCGGCAAACATCGCGCGGAAATCCTCGGACGACGAATAACATGGCCGAGAAAAACGCAACGAAGACGATCGTTCCGGGAGAACGGATAAAAAATGCTTCACGCCTCGAAGACAATGGAATTGCCGGATCGTTGCGGGCTCGGCGAGAACGGTTCCGCTTTGAGGATCGCGTATTCGGCTCTGGTAATCGTTCCGACTTCCGAGTACCAGCGAAATTAATTTGACGAGCTTGTTACCGGTTGACAATGGCCGAGCAATTTTTTCTCGAAATCTGTTAGACACTGTTTTTAGAAATTTTGTAGACCATTGTTTTCAGCACGTAGTATTTTCCTACGAGATCGCAGTTACAGTAATCATTTTTCTGGAACAGCGTAAGACGTCCGCGAGATGTGGACATTTTATTTCACGTTTGCTTTTATCGCCGGCAAAATGTTACCAGCAGTGTCGCATTGAACATGATTCGGGTGCGAAATTGCGCGAATTTTCGGCAGTGTTTTCAGCAAGCGCGAAATGTTATCCGACGTTCGACGAGCTCGCGACCAATCGACGACGATAGGATAATTGTGGAATAATTTTGTGAGATCGTTTGAGACGTCGGGAACTGAGACACGCCTTACGTCGCCTCGAAGTTTTCGTTTGGCACCGTGAAGAAACGTCGCCGGAGCCGTATCGAATGTGCTGGAGCAGGCGTGGAGCGGCGAGAGCCTCTCGAAAACGGTACACGCGTGCCGGAAAAATCACGAACGATTTCTAACTGTACCCTGACACCTGCGAAAGGTGTTTTCTACCCGTTCCGGGGGCCCGTTCCGCGACCTGGCCTTTTGTGAACGCGATTCCCAACGCAATTGGTATTGTCGGGAGGATCGCACGCTCTCAAGAGGAGCTGCACAAGAAAAACTCGTCATCGAATCACTAAAACATGAAAACCGATGCGTTCGAGAAACTTCCCCGTGCTGCACTACACGCTAAGAAATATCTATAATTCAAACTACGATCGATTCACGAGCTTCTATTAGGTCGAGTCATCAATAACTTCCGATGCAGTTAGGTAGAAATCTATTGTTCTCGTCTACCAACTACGAGTCACCGAAATAAACGAATTTTTGCTCTCATTAGATATAGATAAGGGTTCAACATAAATATAAAACGAAAAGACAAAAAATATAAATAGAAGAAAAAACAAAATAAACGACTGACAAGAGACAGCTGATTTTACCGAATCATCCGACATTATGGTCGACTCGAAGACGCGATCGTTAAAATTGTCCACGATTCACTTTGGATTCGGATTTTCACGCGATGCACGTTACTTGTGGAGCCTAACCGAACTAAGTACGATAGCAAAATGTTCTGCGAGGTCGAAAACCGGCGGAAAGGAAGAGTTTTCGAGCGAGTTTTGCGGTACTTGTGCGGCCGAATTCGATCAGAGCAAAATCGAAAGAGAGGGGGGGGAGGTGTGCTGAATGAAAACGAGACGGTACGACTTCCGGTGTTCGGCTAGCGGAGTACTACTCACTTGCTCACTTCCAGGTAGACTTCCTTGACACTGACTCTCAGCTCTGAAGATGAAATTCCTCGCGGGACCTGCTATATAGCTTGCGAGGCCCACGTGGGGGTAGGCCCCGCAGCCAATGACCAAGCGGCTTTGGCGCTATTTTCAATGGAACTGACCAATCCTCCGTCACCGAACGGCCGGAGGTCTACTTTTAAAACACTTTTCATCGGTAGCTTCACGGTTACGACGTTCCGACGAGTTCGCAGGCTGCGTCCGCTTAGAAAGCCGAGGATCGACGTCGTGGATCGCGACGATCGTCGGTGCCTCGGCCGATCTTGGCCTTCGATTCGATTCGGAAATGATACGCGTACTTTCTTCCTTCTCCGGAGGAAACAACGCTGATCGGTGAATATTCTGGAACCGACGGGAGTTCGGTGTCGACGGCTCTTCTCGCAGGAGGGAGTATTGGGGCGAGGGGTGAAAAGTACCGGTTCCCGGGGCTAATTTCATTTACATTTATTTACAAACGCATACAGCCATTTTATGTACAGTGATGTGTATAAATAGCAACAACCACCAAGCGTTCTCGAATGCACCGCGGGAGAGCACAAAGTCCGATTTTCCTCGTGAAAGCTTCCGTGCTGGAATTCTCTCAAATTGTCCCTCAGCTTGGGATCGAAAAATGGACAACTTCGGGAGACACGTTAACGCGAATACGCAGTAATGCTGGAATAAAAACGATGCCGTAACTTTTCTATTTCTAATTTTTTTATAAGTGAAAATCCTTCTTAACACATTGGCGAGATCCTTTCAATTAAAATGAGACCGAACGCGACCTGCTTTAGACCGTATTTATTCAACTACATATCTTGATTAATTTCATTGTACGTAATTGGAAATATCTGTCCAAATTATGCCGTGTTTGGTCTCATTTGAATCAGAAAACTGTCAGCAACATGTTAAAAGAAGAATTCAGTTTTAAAATGTTAGAATTAGAAAAGCTATGTTATCGTATCGTGAGTTGTTCATCCCTGGAATCATACGTGCCGCATCATGCGATTCCTCCGCTTTCGATCCTTGCGTCTCCCGATTTTCTCGCTTGATAACGCTACTTACCATCGACCTGCCTGAATAAAACTGTTCGGTATAATATAAATAAAGCGCGAGGATACAATGCAACAGACATTGCCAGCGAAAGTCCACACTAACTCTACCGTCGATATATTTAACAAACATAGATATAGTATCGTGGCGATGATCGAGGCTCGCGAGTCCACGCCGCGAGTCCTCTTCAGTCTACTTGGACAAGTGTTTCTCCACTTGTTCGACAGCTGTCGGTGTTCACGGGTAGCGATGGGATCGATACTAGTATTATTGATGATATTCAATCAATTCGATACCATAGTAATTAATAGCAGGTATCGGATATGTATCGAAATTTTAGGTACTTAGTATCACTCGTCGTTGTCGAGGCTTCTTAAAATGATACCGAACAAATACCGTATTCAATCGAAGTTTCCTTGATGCTTTCCGAGAGTATCGATACACGTTCGATGCTTTGCGAATTGTCGTTCGTCAGAAAACATTTAACGGCAACTTCCGTTATTGTGAAAGTATCGGAAAAGGTATCGATATTCCCGTAAAAGTATTAACAGAGCTAGGTAAAATAGTATTTTAAGTGGCAAATAGCAAATAATTTTATTTAAAATCGAGCATGTATTACTGAAAATAAGATATCTTATTTGCTCAAAAAAAGCCTTTTGAAACAATATCTCAAATAGCATTTCATTCGAAAAACACTGAAAATATTCGTGCCATAGTTCGGAATATTTTATTTTCATGCCTCACAGCTTTACCAAAATGTACTATATTTTATTTTACGTTTTGCATTATTAAAATAAAATATTTACTTCGTGCTTCGGCTGTGGATTATCGAAATGAAAATATTTTATCTACTGAAATTTCATGTCCTATTTGAAATACTATTCTATCTGAAGAATCTATTGTTGAAAAATATTTTCTCTATAAATATTACCCAGCTCTGAGTATCGGTCAGGTATCGATATTTCAGACTAAGTATTGAAGAGGTATCGATTCTGTTTGATACCTGCGTCTTCGATACAATTCGGTATTGGATCGAAATTTGTTAACTGGTATCGATAGGTATCGATGCGGTATCAGTCGGAACACTATTCCCAGGACTTACCATGCTGATCCCATGAACACCGAGAGCTTCGATCAATTTCATCGGTTCTATCGGGTGACCAAGAAATCCGTCGCGCTTCTCCTACGAATCGACCTGTACACTCTGCCGCGATTTAAAGCCAACTCGACTGCGCTTTTGAACGAAAGATTATCGACCCAGAACGACTCAACAAAATTCCACAACGACGCAGGAAAATCGCGCGTGTCTTTCTTGGTTACCCAACGGCACTGTCAACCAATTAATCGCAGCGAGCGATTACAGCTTTCCCTCGTCAGCGTCTCGCTGTTATCGTCGCGTTTACGGCACCTTACAGTGTCTCAGGAGACGTAATCGAGCTGTTAGCCAATAGAAAATGGCGTGCACCGCGCGACAGAGGCTCGCCGTGTTCTCGGAATCGCGCCAAAAAGGGAAAACTGTAATCGGTTGACCTCCGCTCGATTTCCTAGGGTCTTCCGTTTGTTCGAGGCGACCGAGACAGTCTGAGAAACCGCGAAACATCGGCCTGGGCGCTCTCAGACCGCGTTGCAGTCCATGAAGAGGGTCCTGCAGTCCTGTCCAGTGCGTCCTCGTCGTCCCGCCTCGTAAAGGGCCTCGAAGCCCACTCCGCTTTGCCTTTGGAGGATGTAGCTGGTCGCGTACCTTCGACGAGAGGACGATTAACGTCGATGGAAAGTCGATGGAAATCGAACAGTGGCAACTCGATCGTTCCAATGAAAGATACAGCCAACTTTCTCACATTGTCCCTCAGCTTGGAAACGAAGATGGACATTGATTTTACTTTTATAAATATCAATATGTTCTTTCCCAATACGCATTCAATGTTGCATAATTTATTTTCAAATAAATACTAAAACAAAGCTATAATGTGAAAGGAGGAGATACGATTGTTCGAGTCTCGCGGCTCGCTTTTATTGTTGCCGATTGCCAACAACTATGAAAGCGAGCCCCAAGGCTCGAACAATCGCATCTCCTCTTCCCGAGTTGCCCACTTTCGTTTCCAAATTGAGGGACAATGTAACAGAAACGATCGTAATCGGCTTTCTTCGATTGCTCGATCGGAGGGAGACTTACGAGCCAAGTTGACAGAAGATCGACGACGTTCCCTGAGCGTCTGCGACGCACTCGGCGCTCGCCTCGCAAAGGGCGCGCTCGGCGCAGCCCTGCTGACCCTCGTCCTCCGCTCGGCCGACGTTGTTGAAGCTCTTCAAGGACCTCATGTAACCCTGCAATCGAGTCGTGTCGCGTTTCCTTCTCGTATTCTCAGTCGCGGCTGTGTACAGTAAATTCTCTCAAATTGTCCCTCGGCTTACAAACAAAATTGAGCAACGGACGAAGGAGATACAATTATCGGAGCTTTGCGGCTCGTTTTTATAGCTGTTATCATCGTATCTCCTCGTCCGAAATTGCCGAAATTTTTGTTCACAAGAGGAGCAGTTTCAGAAAATTTACTGCATTTACGTTCCGACAGCCTGTGTCACGCGCGGGCGTGACACTTGGGTCGGCCTGCCAACAGTCGTCGGCCGGACCCTCTCGACCGTGAAGCGATAGTTTGCGAACAGGTGTTGCTCTTTTTGCGGTCGCTGTGCGGAGCTCGCGGTGCGTGACACCTTATACAGAGTGATCCGCCGAAGCAGTATCTCCGTTATCGTTAACGGCACTGAAAAATGCTAGGGGAACAGACTGCACGGTCCGAAGGGACGCGCGTTCCAGCGGAAACAATTTGATCACCCTGTATAGCCGTTTACGGCCGTATCTCGCAAATGGAATGCGTTCTATAAAATAATTTCTAAAAATAATTCCCGCAGCCGACGGTTTTTTGAACTTGTTTCAAGACGAGAACCTTGTCTCCGAATTAACACGCAAATCTTCTGTCAGCTTTGCGACCCTGCCGAAGAAGATCGTACCTTGAACATAGTGATGGAGGCGACAGCGGCTTCCGAAACGGTGTCCCGTCTTCCGGCGGACCTGGCGGTGAACGAACGATGGGAGAAGGAGGTCTTCAAGGCGTCCAGAAGGTTCACCACGATGCTGATGAACTGTCGGAGCAAGATTCGATTGGACACGGTGCCGACGATGTTGTCTCGAGTCATAAATAACTTCCGTTTCGTCATCAGACATTTATCTTGTTCTTTTCATTTGTCTCTTTCGTTTCTCGATTTTATTTATTTCGAAGCCTCGTCTATTTAGCGAAAGCAAACACTCGTTTGTCCCGGTGGACAGAGATACGAACAACAGGTTCTACCTAGCTGAATCGGAAGTTATTCACGGCTCGACCTAACGGAATCGATGCTACCCACCTGCATAGGGCTCCCGTCGTTGTTGGTTTTGTCGATGCCCTCGATGTCGCCTTGCTGAGGACCACCGATCAGAGCAGTGATCACTCTCAGACCCATTGCGACCACGTTGGCCCAGGGACTAGCAGGTGCGCCGTCCTCGATCTCGTTTTTGCTAGCCTCGTTGTCGCCGGCCACGCGTCCCAGCAGCAGTCGCATCAGCACTCCCAGCATGTTCGACCAGGAGAAGCTGCTGTTGCCGTTGCTCTCCTGTCGGGACGAATGGAACACAATTAACAACGAACCTACGGAGCAAAAGCGACGAATGCGCGTTGCTCTGGGAGAATTATAAGACCGAATTTATTTAGAAATTGTTTCCAGAACGTGAATTATTATTATTATATTATCATTATATTATTATATTATTATTATTATATTATTATATTATTATATTATTATATTATTATATTATTATATTATTATATTATTATATTATATTATATTATTATATTATTATTATTATATTATTATATTATTATATTATTATATTATTATATTATTATATTATTATATTATTATATTATTATTATTATTATTATTATTATATTATTATTATTTCCAGAAATTGATTCAATCATTTTCTATGAAAGAGCCTTTACAGTTCCAGCAATTTTCCAATAAGATACGTGAAACCGATCATTTCGATCGGCTCGGAGCTTTGCTTCATCATCGATTCGTCGCGTGGTTCGCCAGCGACGATCGCGAAAACCTAATCGGCGTGCTTCCCTCTCACCTGAATCTGATTGGTGTTCACCTCGTTCAGCTCGTCGATGCCGACCTTCTTCATGGCGTTCGGTTTCTCCGCGAACTTCCGGTCGTCCCTGACCCGTTGCTGGCTCTGCTGAGGATACTGCGGACCCTGCGGCAGCGCGACCACCTTCCCCAGCACCAGAACCACCACGCACAGCGCCGCGTACTGTTTCTGATACATCCTGCAACAGAGGTTCGAGACTCCCGTGACAATGTGACCGCAGACCACGGGACGAAGACGAGCTCTTCCGGTCCCATCGGGGGCTGTCGTTTGGAACCTTGACCCGCGATACGAAAACCGAGGAAAAGTAAAAACGGGAACAGCGCGGGGCGAACGGCTCCCAGCTGTCGGTAAGTGTGTCAGAGCTGTTAAGGTCGCCCTGGCAGCACCAGCTACTAGCCCACTTCTTGCTAGATGCTGCCGGTTTGTTGAACCCGAGCGGTACCGTTACAGGGAAACGCGGTCGCGGTGTTGTACTGTCGCCGGCGCCCTTGCTCGCGGAAAAATGCTGGTACCGAGCGTTTCACGGCACGTGGACGCGACTTCGGTCGCCGCGATTCGCGGCCGCTGTAATTATTTATGAAATCCCGCGGCGATCGACGGTGATGCGACGATCGACTGGTCGATTACGAGGTGGCGGACGATCCTCGTCAAACTCTGCCGCGCTTCGAAGGGATCCTAAACCGAGCGAGATCTCGTATTTCGTAAGATGTATAAGATGTATGTGAAGTACGTGAGGAAGTAAAATCGCGTACAGCTGCGACTAAAATTCTATTTTGATGGTGTAAAAATTGAGCGGTGGAATTATATCACAAAATGGTATGAAAAGGTCTAAAATTCTAATTTGATGGTGTGAAAATTGAACGGTGGAAATAATATCGCAAGATGGTATGAAAAGGTCTAAAATTCTAATTTGATGGTGTGAAAATTGAACGGTGGAAATAATATCGCAAAATGGTATGAAAAAGTCTAGAATTCTAATTTGATGGTGTGAAAATTGAACGGTGGAAATAATACCGCAAGATGGTATGAAAAGGTCTAAAATTCTAATTTGATGGTATGAAAATTGAACGGTGGAAATAATATCGCAAAATGGTATGAAAAGGTCTAAAATTCTACTTTGATGGTATGAAAATTGAACGGTGAAAATAATATCGCAAAATGATATAGAAAAGTCTAAAATCCTACTTTGATGGTATAAAACTTTAACGGTGGAAATGATATGATAAAATAATATGGAAAAATTATTTTGATTTTAAGATACAGTTTATCTTTTTATAACTCTTTTAACGGTTTACCTAGAGATAAAGCTAGAGGTCAAGTTAGAGGTGAAAGGTTTTAAATAAGAAATCAAATTACAACATACATTAGAAATATGATAAACGAAATATCACCGTCCACCGAGATGGAAATGGAGATCTAACTAATGCACCTTCGAGTGCGTTAGATTTTATATTTTAAAAAATAAATAACGTAAAATGAAAATAATTTGTTCATATTATTTGGTCATATTATTTCTGCCGTACAATTTATAAACCATCGAATTAGAATTTTAATCTCATGTCACGTATATCTTTTGAAATACCCCCGGGTACCCGGGAATCTCGCGGGTGCCCGAATATCTTGTAAATAGACCGCGAATTTTATGCATTTTTTGGCTAAAAAATGCGTAGGTCAATTTTAAAACGGTAGACAAATAGAGAGAATTGAAGGGTGTCATTACCAGACTGCGGACTTGAATGCAAAATAAACATTGTTTGCACCAATTTCAACGAATAGTAGCAAGTTAATTCTTCCGTTAACAATCTTAACAAATTAAAAATATTATATAATAATTATTATATAATTGCTTTAATTAATTTTATAATTGCTTGTATATTATATAATTGCTTTTAATCTTTACGTTATTTGAGATCGTAACCACCCAATCTTCCCGTAAATGCACGGAGATCCGCAGTCCAGTCGTTACAGTATCATCAAATTACTAAAATTGTTAAAGACCGAAAGAACTTTCCACCTGGCAACCGGTCGTCGCGATTCACGAATGCGATTTTCATTTCGCATCATTTTCCATTTTTCAACCTAAAAGTAAGAGCAGAGGCTCTGTACAGAGAAAGACCGCCGAGACAATGAACGCAGACAGAGATCGAAGAGAAGAGGCCGAAGGAAAGAGGACGAACCGCGTGAGGACCGCGAGTTTCTTCGTGAAACGTCCCCGTCGAAGAGACAGATCGGCGTCGCACGACGTAGATTGCCGCGGTGTCTAAGAACGAAACGCGGCGAGGACGGGCGAGTCTCGTTTCCAGAATACTCTAGTGCGGGCTACTCACTTCGCTACTTTCAGCTGGACTTCCTTGACACTGACTCTCGACTCTGAAGATGAAATTCCACGCGGGGCCTTCTATATAGCTTGCGCACTTACGTGGGGGGCAGACCGCGCGGCCAATGACCACACGCCTTTGGCACTATTTTCAATGGCACTGACCAATCTTCCGCCGCTGGCCGCGGCCGCGGCCGTTCGCCGCCGCGGACCCCGAAGATCCAGTTTTCGAACAGAGCTTCTTCGGCGTGTCCCCCGTTCGCGATCCACCGCGACCGAATTCTTCTGCCAAAAGTCCGCCGGTTCGCAGAAACTCGCGCCCCGGAAACCGTTCTTGGCACGTACGTTAACCTTGCGAACGATCCAGCTACTTGTCTGCATACTTTCGATCATCCTACAACGCGAAACGGTTGTCTTCTCTCAATTGAAAAAAGAATAAAAGATGTCAGAATTGACCAAGATTGTTGCCAGTTCCCGTTCCTTTCCCTAAGTGTAACGTGAAATACGTTTATTTAAGTATATTATAATTATAAACTTGATTATGGTACACGTCAGAATTTCTTGGCTTAACCCATTCACTGTATAATAATAATAATAATAATAAAGAAAAAGAATTTTTTTATATTATTTTGTACTCATTATTATTATTTAATTATCATTATCTATTTGTTTCGCTAATAAATAAATGCTGACTTCGAGGACAGAATTCTTCAAAATGGACTTCGCGGACTAGATGCGTCCAAGTGTAAATCGTTATTGAATGAAATACAATTCGTAAAATCGTTGCCGAATACCGCGAGACTATTACCTTGTCAATTATTGTTTCATTCATCGAAAGAAACGTTTGTCTGCTCTACCCTCCTTCGGCAGGTTGCCTTGTTCAATAAAGAGAGAGAAAGAGAGCGAATAATTCGATAAAACGACGACGACGACCCGGGAAGCATGAAGATTTGATCGGAGATAGATCGGCCGCAGGCTTTCCTTTTCTTCGCGAATGTCCGACCGATCGATGCACCGTCGATCCAAGCGATCACGATCCATCATAACTGTTTCAGTAGCGGGACGCTGGCGTGGTGTCTTCTTATTAGGAGGATCTCGCTAATCGCCGCATGCTTGGAACGACCTGGGATCCCGGGAGATCATCGGCCGAACCTCCGTTCGAGCGTATTTGCCGATCCAATTCTTCTTTCCGCGCGGGGAAAAAGCGTCCTCGGCGAAGGAAAAAAGACAACAAGAAAGAAAAGGAATATCGTCGCGATCCCGGATCGATCGGGAGCGTCGAAAAAAATAAAAAGATGCCGGGCACGAATGCCGTTGACCATGCTTGACACACTTGCCGAGTCAAATTGCTGCGTAGTCCGTCGTTACCGACGAAGACCGGTTATCGAACTGGTCATTACCGGGTCATCGAAAATAAAAGTACAGCCCCGTCGAAAACTAACGGGCGTTACGAAGAGAATGCTCGTCCACGGTCCTGCCCTTGCGAGCGTGCATACCAGAACAAGTCGCTCGAATTTCCAGCAGACGTCGCCTATTTCGGCGAAAAGTCCCGCGAGGAATCAATAGAGGCTATGTTAATGGCGGCGGCTCACCGTTATGCCAATAACGAAAGTTTGTTGCGGCGGTCGCCGAGCTAGGAATCCGCGAGTCTCTTGTATGTCCGTGAAACGAATTTTCTGACAGCGAGAAAGAACTAAAAAAGCACTGTAGACGTCGGAGACATTAATTTCCTGGATATAACATAACGTTAACCCCTTTCAATGCACAGTTTTTTTGAAAAAGGCCGGCCAAAAGAAATCAATTCTTTTTAATGTAAAAAGACACAATTTAGAACGTTGTCTTGGCAAGAAAATTACAAAAATACAATCAATTAATTTATACAATTGGTGTGATTTCTAATTTTCAGAATATTACTATTATTATTATTATTATTGAATTTTATTTTACATTATATTTTAGTAAAATATATATTGAAAAATGAGCGAATCAGAATCTGAATATGAATACGCTGTCGGAAAGCGGCTCACATGGAAGAGATAAGTCGTAAGTGATAAGTAGAAAAAGGATATATTTTATACTTGGATAAGTAAGTGTTATAGCTTATACAATCCCATGTAAATGGTAAATATCAATAAAACGATTGTTTTTTTTTTGCTTTCACATTGTTATTTTCGATTCTCGATTGCATTCGAGTGTGAAAAATTATAGCAACATAAAGCACTCGAGTTAACTCGAGCGTGCACGTTAAGGGGTTAATTTAACCGTAACATGACCTTGACGTAGTCCTTTGCACCGGAGCGGCGATTCTGAGACCGCTACAAATGCTGTAAATCGGAAAAATGATTTTGGATCTACGGTTAAAATAGCTTCGTGTGCAAAGGGTCAATGAAAATTGAATTCGTTTGGCCATCGACTCGGCCGTCGCGCTAATTCGATGATTACAATTGTAATTTCCCGTTTTGTAGCAACATTTGTTGTTCTTCAACATCGACGAGTACCGCTCAGCTGTACGGAATAAAAAGAGCATCCGTACGAGACTGTCGAATCTTTCGCGACAACGTAAAAGGCCTAGCTGCTTAGCCACCATAAAAGGAGGTCCCTCCGTTTGACGAGTTTCTAGGCTAAGCACTGTTCTGTGAACTTAGCGAGGCCGAAGAACGTCAGACTCGTTCCTTTCGACCGATCCCGAAGAAATAATCAATGCTCCTGCGCCTGTAATAAAGCCGAAAGGAATAGGAGAATCGGGCCCGCTATTAGACCTTTACCGCTGACACAGAAACGCACCGACATACCAGCAGTTTCTGATCTGTGCCGCTCCTTCCGTTTATTTCTGACCGGGGATCTTCTATCTTTCATCTTCCCGCGATCCAAGCTGCGCAGCTCATTCTTGATATCGCGTGATAGCTCGTGCGATCTTTACAGAGTCATAAGCACCGTTGCATGCTGGCTCAAAGTCCCGGAAACCTTAGAAACTTGCAAGTATTCGATTCTTTTTTTTTTCAATTCTTTCATTGGAAATTAAATGTTTCGCTAGACCTCTGAAATGGATTTCAACAGTTCACGCAACAGTCCGTTTACGAGTTAATAACGGAGTACCAACGATGCTGTGGGATTTATTTGCGATTCGATTCATTAGATTCGTGGTGGATCTGCAACATGGCTGAGCTTAGGAAGACCCCGTGTACAACGATTAGATCAACATTTCGATGGATCTCCTAGCCGTATATGACTTTCTTTATTAGAATATCTATTACAGCTACTTGACACACAAAACGTTAACATAGCGGAACATCCGAACGCGCTGCACTCGTGTTTGATGATTTGTATGCAGCCGCCCTATTCTCGCGTGATCCACGCATATTATCCCGTGGACAGGTATGTTAAACAGGAAGTGAAACGAACGGGTCTGTCTGTTCCTCTCGAGATGTTTGCCTCTTTCAGCGAACCAACGAAAAATCGTTTCTATTTAAAGACTGGAAAGAGTTTAGGACTTCCAGAGATTCTGGAGGTTTTCTAATTATTAGTTTTCTAATTACCGGGGGTCTTCTGGGACCTCGGAAGTCCTTCCGAGGTAACTGAAAATTTTAGGATTCTAAGAATACATATATTTCTATAATTATATATATATCGCCAA